CAAAGCCTATTCATCAGAAATTAGCAAGCAAACATACTAAAATATTAGACTCACTATATAGATTATGTGAGCAACATGTTGAGAATATTGACTACTTAGTGTCTGGTCGTCGAAAGAATACAAAGATGGACATGGTAAGATTAGGCACTTTCTTTTTTGGAAGATTCGAGGCGCTTTCCAGAAGTGTTGAGACATTTATTAATTTCAAAGTAAAAAAAAAACACTATTCTCAATTCAAAGTAGCATCCTCTGATTTCAATGCACTTTGCTGTAACGCTCCAGCCACTTCATGAAGTGCCTATGAACGTCATCAAACGCGAAGGTGCCCCGGAACCTTGTTACAGTTTACGTCATCTTCTCAATGTCTTCAAAAGGATGTTCTCCTTCATCTTGGAGAACAACCAAAAGAGACATGGAGCAATTTCTGGATTGTAAGTAGGGCGAGGGAGAATTATGATACCCATCTCTGTCAATACAAAACTTTACTGTTTAACGAGTTTCCAAACTGTCTTCTCGTCCCGACTGCATTCTGTCGAATAAGCCGCTGTGGCAAGCAGTGTTTAGTAGGATGTTTTCAAACAGTTATTACAGCCGTTTACTTCAGTCTGGAATAACAAAAGTTGGCAGTTCAGCTTATTAGATGGATAGGAATGATATACTATAATTACAATAATCTAAGACAAATTTAACTGCGTCTATGAAACTTCTGGAATGATCTTCATATGTTACTATTACACTACGCCAAATGATGAAAAATGGTAGGGATGCCATGTTGGAATCGTAGAAGGCCAGATACTTACTAAGCTTTATGATTTTGCCACTCATACTCACAAGATATCTGCATTAAAGACTTCAAAAATATGTTCTCATTGATATGACAGTGCCATCAGTTAAAAATATAGCTATTAAACAAGTTGATCAAATAAGTGAATAAAAGGATTTGTGAATTGCAGTTAAAAAAATAATGTTAACCATTAAGATTTCTCCAATAATAATTTCAACCCTAGGTACGATCCATAAAAGTTACAGACAGGCACATTAAAAGATTCCTGGAGGCATTAGTTTAAAAAAAACAAGATTTTTAAAAATTTCACCCTGTATATCTGCTCATGTACTCAATAGAGTATTATGAATGTAAAGAAAATATAAACACTACACGTTGAATATAACTTAAGATTATATATGTGAAAATAAAATGCACATATTTATTGCCATACCATATCTTAGGTCTCAGGTAAAAGCCAGTAAATCATTTTACTTCAAAGAAACCAACAACAACAAAAATAGGTTGAGTCATATGTATTTTCCGTTATTGGAAACCAATTGTATTGACGAATGTATAATCTATTTTGAGAAACAATTGTATTGACGAATGTATCATCTATTTTGGAAAACAATTGTATTGACGAATGTATCATCTATTTTGAGAAACAATTGTATTGACGAATGTATCATCTATTTTGAGAAACAATTGTATTGACGAATGTATCATCTATTTTGAGAAACAATTGTATTGACGAATGTATCATCTATTTTGAGAAACAATTGTATTGACGAATGTATCATCTATTTTGGGAAGCAATTGTATTGACGAATGTATCATCTATTTTGAGAAACAATTGTATTGACGAATGTATAATCTATTTTGAGAAACAATTGTATTGACGAATGTATCATCTATTTTGAGAAACAATTGTATTGACGAATGTATCATCTATTTTGAGAAACAATTGTATTGACGAATGTATCATCTATTTTGGAAAACAATTGTATTGACGAATGTATCATCTATTTTGGAAAACAATTGTATTGACGAATGTATCATCTATTTTGGAAAACAATTGTATTGACGAATGTATCATCTATTTTGGAAAACAATTGTATTGACGAATGTATCATCTATTTTGGAAAACAATTGTATTGACGAATGTATCATCTATTTTGAGAAACAATTGTATTGACGAATGTATCATCTATTTTGAGAAACAATTGTATTGACGAATGTATCATCTATTTTGGGAACCAATTGTATTGACGAATGTATCATCTATTTTAGGAAGCAATTGTATTGACGAATGTATCATCTATTTTGAGAAACAATTGTATTGACGAATGTATCATCTATTTTGGGAACCAATTGTATTGACGAATGTATCATCTATTTTAGGAAACAATTGTATTGACGAATGTATCATCTATTTTGAGAAACAATTGTATTGACGAATGTATCATCTATTTTGAGAAACAATTGTATTGACGAATGTATCATCTATTTTGAGAAACAATTGTATTGACGAATGTATCATCTATTTTGAGAAACAATTGTATTGACGAATGTATCATCTATTTTGAGAAACAATTGTATTGACGAATGTATCATCTATTTTGAGAAACAATTGTATTGACGAATGTATCATCTATTTTGGAAAACAATTGTATTGACGAATGTATCATCTATTTTGAGAAACAATTGTATTGACGAATGTATCATCTATTTTGAGAAACAATTGTATTGACGAATGTATCATCTATTTTGGAAAACAATTGTATTGACGAATGTATCATCTATTTTGGAAAACAATTGTATTGACGAATGTATCATCTATTTTGAGAAACAATTGTATTGACGAATGTATCATCTATTTTGAGAAACAATTGTATTGACGAATGTATCATCTATTTTGAGAAACAATTGTATTGACGAATGTATCATCTATTTTGAGAAACAATTGTATTGACGAATGTATCATCTATTTTGGGAACCAATTGTATTGACGAATGTATCATCTATTTTAGGAAGCAATTGTATTGCCGAATGTATCATCTATTTTGAGAAACAATTGTATTGACGAATCATCTATTTTATGAAACAATTGTATTGACGAATCATCTATTTTAGGAAACAATTGTATTGACGAATGTATCGTCTATTTTAAGAAGCAATTGTATTGACAAATGTATCATCTATTTTAGGAAACAATTGTATTGACGAATGTATCATCTATTTTTAGAAACAATTGTATTGGTGAATGTATCATCTATTTTGGAAACCAATTGTATTGATGAATGTGTAATTCACTTTGAGAACCAATGGTAATGACTAATATATAATTATTTTTGGGAACCATTTGTAATGACAAATATATCATTCACTTTTGGAACCATATGTAATGTCAAATGTGTAATTCTTTTTGGAAAATAATTGTGATGACGAATGCATCATTCTATTTGGGAAATAATTCTGATGACGAATGTGTCAGTTTTTGGCGGGAACCGTCCTTTTTTGGGGAAAATCTTAACTACTAGTTCCCTGAAGCAGTTAACAACATATTGTTCCGCCGCATCGTTTCCCAAGTATCTGATAATGGGTGCTGAACAGTGGGTTACATGCAACAATGTTTAATGTAAATTACAGTGGACTGAGAACGGTAAACTCCAAAATCTGAGCTCCATAGACAATTTATGTGTGTGCATGATGAGATCGTCGATTTATTATTAATTTGTACTCCTATAAGCGAAATGAAATAATAAATGCACATTTATGCGTCCAGCAGCTGCAACGTGTCCATAGATATTTAGTGGAAAAGTTCTCTGCGCTCATCAATAAAAAAAAATATTTTTTCATCTCCTTGACAACGCCAGGCCGCTGACAACAAGAAAAACACAGATCAAATCTTTGGAACTCAGTTGGCCCATACCAACCGAGGGTTTCCATATTACCTGACTTTGAACCAAAGGATTATTACGTTTTTGATCGTTGCAAAACACTTTGATGCTGAAAATGTTCATTTGTGAAAAAAAAAAAAAACAGACTCAAGAGTTTGTCCAGAAGATTTTGTCCGCACCAAAACTTCGAAAAAGATATCGAAGTCATTGCGAATAATGGTGAATATATAATTCGTACTTTATGGTGAATAATATAATTGTACTTTATGGTTTTAAGAATAAAGATGATAAAAAAAACGGAACTTATTCATGGCTCCGGCTAATGATGATGATGATAATTATAATGATGATGGGTTATGATGATGATGATGATGATGATAATGGTGATTATGATGATGATGATAATGTGATGACAATAATGATCTTAATGATGATGGTGGTGTTAATGATGATGATGATAATTATAATGACGATGGGGGACGATGATGATGATGATGATAATGGTGATTATGATGATGTGATGACAATAATGATGTTAATGATGATGGTGGTGTTGATGATAATGATAATTATGATGATGATGACAAAAAAGATTTAGTAGTTGATTGATTCGTTTTTACGGTTTATCAACCCTTTGCAGCTTATTTAAAGCAAGAAAATAGATTGTAAGAATTTTTTTTCGGTATAATAATGATTTAGGAGGAGATACGGTGGAGTAATGGATAGCGGCTCGGATTCGGGAATCGGAGAGCCGGGTTCGAGGTTTGGATTCATTACATTCACTTACGTGCTAATACCCTTGGGAAAGGTATGAATCCTCTTCTTCTCCCCCTCCCCAGCTATGGGTAAATAGCAGGGAAGACCGGGTTCTATAGCCCTGGATGGCAACTACTCAACCTCAAAAAGAAATGGCAACCTATTGTCAGTCATGTATCGAAAGTAGTTAATATAATGAATCCAACTGGAATTTGAACTCCGCTCTCCGCTAAACAATTCCGAGCCATTATCCATTAAACCACCTGTAAAAAAAATTAGCTGGCCACTCGTATTCGAGGATACCCGTCTATTAGGGCCGCTAGCTAATCCCTACTGCAGACGCTCGCTCAGGCATATTTGTGTTTGCTGAACACCCACAGAGCCCAGCTGTGGTTTATACTGCATTATTACGCTGAGCAGACCTTAGTTACAGTTTCTGGGAAAGAGCGTGTTATCTAGCGGATCAACAATTTGAACAAGGCCAGCACGCTCGCTCAAGCCCTCGGCCACGATGACTTGTGGCTTCGTCCTAGCACAGCTATCGACGGAGTTCATGGTCAGAAAGCGAACGTTCTAAGCTTACATCACATGGTATTCCCTAGAAGTCACCCATCTAGGTACTGACCAGGTACGACGTTACTTAACTTCAGTGATCTTACGGAAACCGTCGTTTTCAAATGATATGGCCGTAAACCCAGATTCAGTAGTTTGGTTGGTTCGGTTTGGTTTGTTTTACGGCATATCAACACCTCAATGGGTTATTTAGTGCCGACAACTTTTTTTTTCCTGGTAATATTTTTGTTTTGTCAAAAATCTATTTCTGTTAATATTTTTTCCTCAAAAATGTATAGCTGGTAATATTATTTTTTCAAAAAAGTATAGTTGGTAATTTTTTTTTTCAAAAACGTATAGCTGGTAATATTATTTTTTCAAAAACGTACAGCTAGCAACATTATTTTTTCAAAAACTTATCAGAGGCCTTGCTGTTGGACGTAGTTTATCGTCTTACCCAGGACGCGGGTGTAGTTTATCGTTATACCCAGGACGCGGATGTAGTTTATCGTTATACCCAGGATGGGGATGTATTTTATCGTCATACCCAGGACGTGGATACAATTTATAGTCATACCCAGGACGCGGATGTAGTTTATCGTTATACCCAGGACACGGATGTAGTTTATCGCTATACCCAGGATGGGGATGTATTTTATCGTCATACCCAGGACGCGGATATAATTTATAGTCATACCCAGGACGCGGATGTAGTTTATCGTTATACCCAGGATGGGGATGTATTTTATCGTCATACCCAGGACGTGGATATAATTTATAGTCATACCCAGGACGCGTATGTAGTTTATCGTCATGCCCAGGACGCGGATGTAGTTTATCGTGATACCCAGGATGGGGATGTATTTTATCGTCATACCCAGGACGCGGATATAATTTATAGTCATACCCAGGACGCGGATGTAGTTTATCGTTATACCCAGGATGTGGATGTATTTTATCGTCATACCCAGGACGTGGATATAATTTATAGTCATACCCAGGACGCGTATGTAGTTTATCGTCATGCCCAGGACGCGGATGTAGTTTATCGTGATACCCAGGATGGGGATGTAGTTTATCGTCATACCCAGGACGTGGATATAATTTATAGTCATACCCAGGACGCGGATGTAGTTTATCGTTATACCCAGGATGGGGATGTATTTTATCGTGATACCCAGGACGTGGATATAATTTATAGTCATACCCAGGACGCGGATGTAGTTTATCGTGATACCCAGGATGGGGATGTATTTTATCGTCATACCCAGGACGTGGATATAATTTATAGTCATACCCAGGACGCGGATGTAGTTTATCGTTATACCCAGGATGGGGATGTATTTTATCGTCATACCCACGACGTGGATGTAATTTATAGTCATACCCAGGACGCGTATATAGTTTATCGTCATGCCTAGGACACGGATGTAGTTTATCGTTATACCCAGGACGCGGGTGTAGTTTATCGTTATACCCAGGACGCGGGTGTAGTTTATCGTTATACCCAGGACGTGGATGTATTTTATCGTCATACCCAGGACGTGGATATAATTTATAGTCATACCCAGGACGCGGATGTAATAGTCATACCCAGAACGCGTATATAGTTTATCGTCATACCCAGCACACAGATTCAGTAGTATAGAAGATTATAAAAGGAGCATATAATAATAATAATAATAATAGTAATATCAGGAAGGACAATAATTATGCGAGAAAAAAGCAAAGACAATTACAAGGAAATATCAATATTCATGATATTAATTATTCAAGGAAAGTAAAAAGAAGACGCATGACGGTAAAAAAAATTGTTTAATTACTTACTTCACCTGAATGCAAGATTTTTTTCTCTTAATTTTTGCAAAAAATTCTCGATTAATATTCTTTTTCCTTTCACCATTTCTCAGTTCTCGTTCTCCCATTTCTCTCCGTGAAACATTCCATTCAATGTCTTAAAACCCAATTCACGTTTCACACAGCCCGAAACCCCTATTAACGCAACGCACAAAACAAAATGCCATGGTACAAAATGAAGTACAAACGTTGCTTGAAACTTTCCTCGAAGATTTATAATATCCAGATTGAAAAATAAAAAAGAAAAAAAAATGTTGTAGGAGAGACGGCGTTACTTAATATGACATTGGGATTAACCGAAGGAGAAAATGGACGGTCGGAGGGGCTCCGGTAAAATCTCTGTTAACCTTTTATATGCCAACAGGATAGTTGGATGTGCCTTTGATTGGCGTGTTTAATTGGGAAGGAGATGAATGTGGAAATGGCGTCGGGGACACGTTAGCAGTTGCGATTGACAGCCATCTTAATTGTGATTTCAAATTTGGAAGTGTTTTATTTTTGTTGCCCCGAGAAAATGCTTGATACAAAGAGGAGGATTGGATCTCATTTCAGTCGGTTGGAGAGTTGAGAAAGTTTAGCCCAAAGTTTCGCCTATTACTGACGGCATTGTTACGAAAAATTGTTTATTTGTGTTTGCTTTCACGAATGTTCATTTCTTAATCGGGATAAACAAAAGAGAGGGAAGAAAATATGAGTCAGACAGATTAAAATATAGATAGATATAGATAGATATATAAACAGCCAGATAAATAGGAGCAGTTAGTCAGAAACAGCTTATTGGAGAGAGATAATTAGATATGAGGAGAGATATAAACAAACTACAAAGATAATGAAGATAGATAGATAGATAGATAGATAGATAGATAATGAACTGAGACAGGCTGACAAACAGATAGATAGATAGATAGATAGATAGATAGATAGAGAGAGAGAGAGAGAGAGAGAGAGAGAGAGAGAGAGAATGAACTGAGATAGGTAGAAAATAAAGAGTGTTGCAGATAATGAACAGAGACAGACTGGCAGATAGATAGATAGATAGATAGATAGATAGATAGATAGATAATGAACTGAGACAGGCTGACAAACAGATAGATAGATAGATAGATAGATAGATAGAGAGAGAGAGAGAGAGAGAGAGAATGAATGAACTGAGATAGGTGAACAGAAAATAAAGAGTGTTGCAGATAATGAACAGAGACAGACTGGCAGATAGATAGATAGATAGATAGATAGATAGATAGATAGATAGATAGATAGATAATGAACTGAGACAGGCTGACAAACAGATAGATAGATAGATAGATAGATAGAGAGAGAGAGAGAGAGAGAGAGAGAGAGAGAGAGAGAATGAACTGAGATAGGTAGAAAATAAAGAGTGTTGCAGATAATGAACAGAGACAGACTGGCAGATAGATAGATAGATAGATAGATAGATAGATAGATAGATAGATAGATAGATAGATAGATAATGAACTGAGACTGAGATGGGTGAGCTGACAAACAGATAGAGATAGATAGATAGATAGATAGATAGAGAGAGAGAGAGAGAGAGAGAGAGAGAGAATGAACTGAGATAGGTAGAAAATAAAGAGTGTTGCAGATAATGAACAGAGACAGACTGGCAGATAGATAGATAGATAGATAGATAGATAGATAGATAGATAGATAGATAATGAACTGTGACAGGCTGACCGACAGAGACAAACAGATATATATATATATATATATATATATATATATATATATATAGAGAGAGAGAGAGAGAGAGAGAGAGAGAGAATGAACTGAGATAGGTAGAAAATAAAACAGAGATGTTGCAGATAATGAACAGAGACAGAATGACCGATATATATATATATATATATATATATATATATATATATATATATATATATATATATATATATGTATATATGGCAGATATATATATATATATATATATATATATATATATAGATAGATAGATAGATAGATAGATAATGAACTGATAGATAATAATTAGACTAGGATGAATACATTATAAACTGAACGTGACTGATAGCAGGGTAGCCAGATAGATAGATATTGAACAGAGAGAGAGAGAATGAACTGAAAATAGGTTGCAGATAATAGATAGATAGATAGATGATAGATAGATAGATGATAAGAAAATGCAAAACATAGATAGGCTGATAATGAAAAGAGTTATTTATATAGTGAAAAGAATGAGATATAGATAGATAATAAACTGACGGAAATAGATAGATAGATAGATAGATAGATAGATAGATAGATAGATAGATAGATAGAAAATGAGCGATTGGTAAATTTTTGTTATATATTTTTAATCTCGCGCATGCGCGTAGTTTTTTTATTTATTTTCTCGACTGCACGGTATAGTAGGGTCAGTTGGGCACCATCTATGATAAAAAGAGCACCATGACGCAATTCAGTCAGCGAGAAATTTGGAAACGGCATGCTGTACTGCTTGGCATTCACGCCGGAAGCTCCATTACAAACATTTCAGATTGTTTAGCAGTCTATCAGTGCCTTGAGGAGGGAGTGCTGCCCTGGGTCAAGAGGGTGGCTGCTAAAAGACCCTATCTCTGGCAACAGGACTCTGTACCATGCCACACAAGCAGTAGGACCCAGTTATGGCTGTGAGACAATTTCTCGCGACCACATCATCCCTTACATCTAGCCCCCTAATACTCCAAATTGCAACCCACTTGATAATTATGTACGGTACGCAGTTGATCGAGAGACCAACAAAACTCCTTGTAAAACCAAAGATGAACTGACGGCAAGGATTATGGCAGCATTCACCAACTTAAAAAAGGAGACCATGTAGAAGAGTTGCAGAAGATTACGAAGTTATCTGGAGGTCGTGGCTGAAGCCAATGTTGATTTTATTAAATGATTTTTCTCTCTACTATTTCAAGATATTTTTGTGTAATTTTTATATCTGTTAAAATGAGATGTAATTTTTTTTTCATTTACGAGTAATTTCGACGACAATTTACCCTTCAACCTGTATAAGGAAAAGAATGAGATAGATAGATAGATAGATAGATGTGAAAAGAATGAGATAGATAGATAGATAGATAGATAGATAGATAGATAGATAGATAGATGTGAAAAGAATGGGATAGATAGATGTGAAAAGAATGAGATAGATAGATAGATAGACAGAGAGAAGTCGGATAGGAATATACAATAATGAGGCAAGAGATTATGATCACTTGTGTCCGCAAAACAAAGCTCTTACCCGATCAGTCATGGACTCTACCAATGCTGTCCATCA